GGCGGAGCCGGGGGAGCGTTGGCCTCTGGGGCTGGGGGGCTGCGTGTGCCGGGCCCGGGCAGCTGGGGAAGCCCAGCTGCAGCCTGTGACCGCCGCTGGTGCGAGGCTGAAGAGTCCCTTCGGCTAAGGTAAGTGTAGAATGAGCGAGTTAAACTAAGAGTGTGTTCTCACTTATGCACACATGCACTTGATTTTTTTTAGTACTTCTGGCTCAATATTTTTCTGTTTTCCTTTTTTTTTTTTTTCTGTACTTTTACCTGTTCTGTACTCTTTTATCAACACTGTTGTGAAGAACAGGTCGTGGGGGATAGAGAAGATAACAGAACAAAATAGCTAAACTGAGATGTGGAGCCTGGAAGGACCAGTACCCCTTTTGCCTCCTTCTTTGAATCAGTTTAGGATGGAGACCCCTTCATGTGTATCACTTAAAATGAGCTGGTTAAGCATGCAAAACTTGAGGAAAAACATCTGCCAAGTTGGGTAGGCATCACATGGGTCTCAAAGCTGGTACTTGCGAAGCTCTGCCTTTTGTGAGAGCAGATCTACCTCCTTCTCCTTCCACCCTGCAAGAGCTATGGTTCGCTTACAGCTCCAGTTTCCATCTGGAAAAAAAAAAAAAGTTCCTGTTTAAAGGCTTTTTAGGGGCGCTAGATTTGGTCTCTAATAACTGTTGCATCAGATCTCCTTGGCTGACACGCAGGAGGTGCTGGCTCTCCTGCCAGCCTCCCACTCATCGGCTGGAGGCTGGCGGCTGGGCTGTGTGGTGGGTGCTGGCCAAGCAGAGTCTTATTCCAGAAGAAAAAGCCTGCCTCCTTCTTTTGGTTGTAGATTTTTCTGTTTTCATTCTTCCTGCCTTGACATGAATGCCCCAAAAGACAAGATGGGAACTTGTTGAACAGTTCCGTAACCTCACCCGTGCTAGTTTTGCCAAAATGTTTTGCTGGAGGGCTACCCTAAGTGGATTTATTGATGGTACTTGAAAGAGCTCTCACTGACTTTTGCAAAGTGTTGTTTGAGATACTGAATTGATTTTTTTTTTTTCCGATGTGGCTGGAGGCTCAGCCACTTCAGTTTTCTTAGAGGCCTTTGAGTCATAGGAAGGTTTAAAACTTGTATGTAATAAGCTAGATTTTGTTTTTCAGTAAAACCTGTGGAAAGTATGCTTTCTGGTTCTTGAAACAGAGCAAGTCTTTCTTTAGTGTTTCTTAGCTTTTACAAATTAAAATGACCTCAGTGTCAAGGCAGAACACTGAAACACTAACTACTGAAAATGTTAGTTAAAAATATTTTTTTCCTGTCCTGAGCTATCTACTAATCATGTTGAAATATGGCTTCAGTCTGAGCTTGCATTTGCCTTTAACTACTCACATGAAAATGTGAGATTATTCAAATGAGATTGTGTACTGTATTGTGCCCCTTTGTCCCCTTCAGGAAGGGTTCAGTAGTTAAAACTGAAGTGCAAGTAAACTGTGTGAAGACTGTTGCCAGGCTTTGCCTGTTAGTGTTTAACTAGTGGCATAAATAAACTTACTTTTTGAAAAGTGGAATTGATTTACATGAAAAAAATCACATTAAAATTATAGGATTTATTAAACTAATAGCCAATGAAATTGTTAACTGTGGGCTTGCTAGATTTTCTTTAACTTCCTTCAGGTATAGACTCTAATCGTATCTTAGTATTTTAGGGTCTCTTCTTGCATTTCATATGGAGCCAAAGAAAGCCAGCCTGACTTTCTCATTATGTCAGGAGCTGCACATAGTCGAAAGCTAATGCTGAACAAATTTGTGGCAGACTTTCATGATCTAAAAATTCCCCAAGTAACTGCTAGTTTTGCTCATAGCCATAGATACAACTAGCTAAGATATGGTGGCTGGAGGAGGAATAATTACTTAGTAGCCAACTACCAAGCGGTAAAAAACACCAACAAACCCCCTCCAAACTATAAAACTAAAAGGCCATTTCAGACCAGTTACGTTGCGTCATCTGAGAGTTCAAAGTGATTTAGTTCTTACTGATGCATTAAAAAGAGCAGAGAGGTTTAAGTTCTGGCATGGAAGAGTTAATAATTAATATATTTTTAGAAATTACGATAAATTATTAATAAAAGAAAATCATGGTCATCGATACTCATGTCAGTGCCAGAATGAATGGAAATTTGTCTCTTTGAAGCATTTTTCTTGTAAGAAATTGTCTTGCAAAATGAAACCCATAGGATTTAGTTTGCTCTCAGGTTTTACAGAAGGTCTAACACTTTTTTTAATGGGAATTTAGTGGGCACTGAAATAATAAGGCTCCTGAGCCCACATTTAATGAGGGTCATTTTACTGTCTTCAAACGGCTGTCTTGCTGCCTTGAGCCCAGTGCATCCTGCTGGGAACACAGCTCACCTTCGCAGTTTGAAGAAATCCATTTTGACACCTTGGTAAATTGCTGGTTCTGCTGAGGCTTATGCCTGGCGTTGGTGGTTGTGGGTCAGGGCAAGAGACTGTTGTTTTACATGCTGCTGAGAAAATTGCCATAAATGTAGTGTTTTGGGATTCACAGAGGACATTTGTTGAAGGCAACTCAACTGACGGTGAACAATGTGTTTATGTGGCTCTTATGATGTGAACATTTTTAATCTCTTCAGGGAAGAAAAAAACTTCCTGAATTAAAATAGAGAAAATACAGAAGGGAATGAGGCAGGATGAAGCCTGCTTGCTTTGTCATATGTCTTTGGTACCGTGTAAGTAAACTCTCTAGGACAGCTGAGACATACATTAACTAACCATCAGGGATTGCTGGTGCAGTAACCACTAAAACAGTTCTGTAGATTTTGGACCTCTGTCTCTTCCCAAATATAGAGGCAAGGAGATAATTCCATAGGTACTTTAAACTGGAGAAACTTAGTTATTGGAAAAGCTGAGGATTGGCTCAGTGGAGTTGTTTCATTGCAAGAGGGCAGGTAGATCTTTCTTGGTTTTAATGGTGGTTGAAGCTGATCAGTCATCAGCAAATTTGAATGGCAGCAGATTTTTTTCCCCCTTTTACCCTCTTGCTGGAACATGGTCACTATCCAGTTTGCCGAAATACTGTGCATGTAGAGTCCAGGCCTCTGCCATAGGGAGGGTGCCATAATTCACAAGAAGCAAAGCTACTCCTTGCATATCAGATCCCAGAGGAAAATGTTTAAAACCTCACCCCTCAGAAGTCTATGTTAAACAAGCAGGATGCTTGTGGAGTAGTCATACCTGTGCTTCTGCCCGTCTCTGTGGCACCATGTAGGAGAGGGGTGAAGGGGAGTTTGCATCCAGGAGAGCGGGGCTTCTGCCAGCCAAGACAGCTTTAACCTCTCCTGGTAATGCACTGATGAGCGCAATTCATTTTGTGGACTATGCAGGCTTCACAGCTTTGATCCAGTAAAATTGCAGCAGTTTTGTCCAGTCACACCTCTACTCAGGTTTGATCCCTTCCTCCACACCTTCGTCCCAGCTAGTCCAAGTGCAGGGTGAGTCTAATAATTTGCTAAAGGCTTGCTCTGTGCCTCCTGCACCGAGGATAAAGAAGAAATATTTCCTGCTAGTTTGGCGTAATAAACTCTTTATTTGAATAATAAAAAGTATATATGTATTTTTTAAATATCTGAAACCACGTTTTTCATGTGTTGTTCACCATGTTATTTCTTCCTTGAAACTTCAATGGGTCTTCTGTCATCTTACCTCTTGCAAAGGAGCCAGAGTTCACCGGGCTGGCAAAGGGTGAGCTGGAACCACTGTCTGTGCCTGCTTGGAAGTAGTCTCATCCCTGAAATTTTAGCTAACCTATGTTACGTTCTTAATGGCACCTGTTTAAATTAATTCTTTAGATAAAAAGACATTTCTGCATCAGTCAGAATAGTTAGCCAGAATGTATCATGATCGTTGCTGATTTGTTCACCAAATAATGCAATCAGATCTTTGACCAGAATAAAAAGAAATTCAATATAACACAAGTGAGGTAGCATCAAAGGGATTTTTTTTGCATGCAAATATATATGTAAAATATATCTATGTATGTGTAGCACTGTTTACAGTTAATGGAGTGCTACAGAATTTGCATCGGTAGTCTTCAGAGTAAACAAATTAGATATGAATTTTGCAGACCTGTAGAGACTGCAGAGCACTGAGCACATCTCACTGTGTATTGTGAGTATCTAACAGACTGGGGTGATACAAATCTGCATAGCTCCCCTGGCAGGAAAAACAGCAAGCTGAAAGATAGACAGTGATCCGTGCATACTCCTGTTTGTCTGGGAGCATCTGGATTAGTTCACTATATTAAGTGAAGAATTGCTACTAAAAGAGCACAAGCTTCCCCCCCCCCC